GTCACTGATGATGAAGAAATAAATAAACTAAATAAACTAATATTTGGTTTCATTTTCTACTGAAGTGACACACAAAAAAGAGAAAAATAGTTTTGTTTTTGTGAAAATAAGACTAGTTGAACTTCAAATGTATTCATAGGAAATATGGGCCTGTCTGGGCTTATAATGTACAGAATTAAAGGATCTAGTTAAATAAACCAATAAAAACAGAATTCTAAGAGATGTTTATGTTCTGTCTCTTCCAGAATCTGCAGCTCTCTCAGAGTCGAATGAAGGAGACTCTCAACTGTTTTTATCAAGTAAATAAGTAGATTTTATTTGCTTATTTCCATTATATTTGTCATTAAATGTTTAAATCTAACACAACAGCTGCTCATTTGTATTTCTCTGAGTAGCTGACAGGTAACAGAGTTGGGTCTCAGAGAGATTTGTTGACAAAGTGGACCTCTCTGTGATATGGAGGAGAAAATGTTGGCTGAAAACGTTAAATTTTTTTTCTTTTCAGTTGACAAATGTGGAGAATTCCCTGATGTTCCCAACAGTTTAAGAGAACAAGATGGACAACGTTCTCTGAAGTACAGATGTGTACTCCTGTACAAGCTGGTGGGTCCAGGGACAGTGGTGTGTCACAGCAACGGAAAGTGGTCTGAAGTCCCCACCTGCAAAGGTAGGAGCAAGTCAACACTAATGGTTTTTATTATTTCAGTCGTTTATCAAAACCAGTGGAAAAAAGTTTTTATTATTTTCTTTTTGTACAGAGAACTTCTGTAAAATGAACACTGCAGAATATCCTGACTTAATAAATGTTGGAGTTGAATATATAGAAAATGGTGAAACGAAGGAGCTGGATTGCACAAATGTGCATATTTTTACCAATTACTCTGTGGTCAAGTGTGTTAATGGAAAACTGCAGAAGACCAGATGTAAGTATAGTTTTAATATTAATAAATCATAAAAAGTCATTAAATGAAACTAAACGGCAGGTACAGAAACGGTTTGAATCTTTCAGTTTTTGATCGATGATTCTGCAGAAAAAAACAGAAACAGAAGATCTTTATGCAGCAACTCTGAACTGAAAGCTATGAGATTTATGGTTGGATTTAAAAAAAAGAAACTTTGTATCTGATAAATCAATAACAAATTAGAGTTTTGAAATGAGTCAAACCTTTGAAAATACTGTACATCCAGTAGCTTCACTTGGTTTAGTCCAAATCTACCAGACTTTCTCCTAAATCAGAAGGTCTGTTTGATTTTCAGGAATATCTGTTATATTTCATTTATGTAAGCTTTAAAAGTTTTGAATAAAAGGAGCTAATCTTTGCTAGTTTACTGTGACTGCTCAGGATCTAAATTTGAGTCMTTATTGTGGAACAACACAAGGTTTCCTGTAGGGGTGTAACGATACATCGATCTACATCGATTTATCGATTTGAATGGTTCATGTCAGTTATATTGAGGCAAAATGAAAATATCAATCTATATCGTCATCATATTCTCGATGCAAATCGATATCAAATGCCCATCTAGTACAGTCATTGTGTTAGATGGACAGATGATATCGCAATATAGCGATCGCAGATGTGAATTGAGTTTAATCGAAATCATATCGTGACAGACTCTGTCACATCGAGAAATATTGAATCATCATCCAAACATATCAATGTAATATTGTATCGTGATAAAGTTTGTGATTTTCACCTAGTTTTCTACTGTTACATGTTTAAAACATGTAACAGTATAATGTGAACCTAACCTTGCTGTTGGTGTTAGTGTTGATCAGGAGAAACAAATACAGAGCAGTTAAACCTCAGAACGAGCAGCTGTTTACGTCACTCCTAATGTTTTGTTGACTGTTTGGTACCATCTAGTGGTTCGTGACATGGAGACTATTGCATGAATCTTGGTTAAGGGATAAAGCCAGGATTTTGGTGTAAACCTGAATGAATCYGTTGCATGAGAGGGGAAATGCTTATGTTTCCATTGTAACAAGTGCTCTGAAACTAACCTGGTGCCAACCAGGTTTAAAGTGGAGATTATTTAATCTGTTAATGTTTCTGAGCAGTAGAGTCATTTTACTGCAGAAACTGTTCGTCTAATCAAGTTTTACAATCTTATATCAGCTAAAATGCATTTTGATCTTGTTTTTAGACCAAAATACAAAACAAGATCAGAATATGTTGGATTATTAATCTTGTTAACCTGAAAAGTTTTCTTTACAAGTCTTACCAAGTGCAACTGTCAAACTGCAGATTATTATTCATTTGAAATGATTCAGAGTAGATGGTTAATTTTTGCAGTGTCTGATCAGAAATCAGTGTTTCGTACAATTATTAAATTTATTATTTTTTTACTTTGCATTAAAATGTTAGAGTAAATACATTTATTTTATTTATCAGATTATCTGTGAAAAATTATTTAAAATGACTTAACCTCAGCTTCACCTTTAAAATAGTGTCAGAGCCTGATATTCTATTATCACAAGCCCCCCCAGCTTTGTGCCTACTGCTGCCCTAAATGATTTACAGCTTGAATGAGTCACCCTGACTGAGCGTGGCTTGGTGTTAGAGCAACAGATTACAGCTGAGATCCTGAATTWATAAATCTGACATTTGTGAAATGAGCTCCAGCTGTGATTGTCTCAGTTTCAGTTTGCTGCTGGATTATAAATGAGTTTTCAGCTCAACTAATGAAGAGTCTTCTTACATCTCACTAAGCTTCAGGTGGAATTTTAGGCAAGAAACTTTGAGAAACTCAGAGGAAAGATGAAATGAACAGAAGAATGGAACAGTCAAAAAAAAAGAGTACATGTCAAACATGTAATATTAATTATAACTGTTTAAATCAATAAACCAGAGTGTTAAAATTTCAGTGTTAAACTTTTCAGAGTTGATTTTAACTCCTGAAGTGTTTTTTTTTAAATAATTTCTGAGTTAACTGACAGCCAGTGTTGGAGTTAATTCACAGTGTTAATTTAACCAGTGTTGTCTTAACTCTGGAGAGAGCTAAATAAGCTCTGTCCACTGTTAAGTAACACTTAAAAGTATATGTTATATAACACTTAACAGTGTTATTTTACACCATGTATTGTTGATTGTGAAAAGCCCCTCCCTCTTCCACCTCCTGTCACATGAACAAAGCAAAGGGATACTGGGTAATCTTGTACAAATTATGTGTTTACATGTATATGACTATTAAAGAAGTTCACGAGTGTAAAAATTAGTTGATCTGAGGCCTATTTCTCAAAAGTCAGATTTCTAAATTCAGGAGCTGTAAGCCGAGGTTGAACTAGCCTTCAACTTGTAAACAGCTGTAATCAGTTGCTCTAACACCAAGCCACGCTCAATTAGGTGGGTTCATTCAAGTCAGGTGTAAATAATCTGTGATTAATGCACGTTCACAGATTGCTTACTAGACCCACTGGGTGGATTAAAGATTTCCTGATCAGGCATGTGCAGTAAGACACGTGAGTCTCACTACCTCTAGCAGTGTAAGGGTTAATTATGATTCATATGAAGAGATGAAGAGAAACACAGACTGACGCTGAAATAATAATAATAACAACAACAACAACAACAACAACAACAACAACAACAACAAC